CTGGTATGGTGGATTAGTAGGTTTGGGTGCAGGTTCGGGTGGATGAGGAATGTCAGGCAACGTAAGCGTCCTCTGTTGCTGTACTGCAGCAGTGGCAAGAACACACAAAAAAAATGAAAAAAAAAAACTTTCAGATTTTTGTGGTACAGTGGAGAAATCTGGTAGTGCTGCTTTTCCCTTCACTGGCGGGACTTTGTTGTTTGGAATGCACAGGCAAGGATTCCCATTTGAAAGTGGAAAACAACAGGAACATGAGTGTAAGCGATCCGTGCTCGAAAGACGAGCCTCGAGGTCGCGCCGCCAATCACGAGGGGAAAGACAAGTCACCAGTCCCAGTGGAAGCGAAGGATGAAGAATGCTTGGTACACAATCGGTGTTCGAAAGGCGAGCCTCTGTGCCGCGCTGGTCTGGAGGAGAAGAAGGATGCGTCAACAGTCACAGTGGAAGTGAAGGAGGGGGGTGAATGCTTGGTAGCTACTCAAGGGTCATTAAGTTGTAATAATATTTCAAGTCCACAGCTTGACTCATCAGAAGTGTGGCGTGTGTTCAAAATTGGTGGCAAGGCGCTGCTGCAAGGCCGGCTGATGTGGTCGGCCATACTTGGCCTTGCATATGGACTACTTGCAGTCAGGTACTAAGTCTTTTTAACCTCTCTGTTAAAGGCTTTTTTTTCAAGTTCTTTCACTTCTGCTTCCTTTGTTTTTTTAGACTCTTTAGACTTCCTGTTCACGTCTTTTTTTCTTTTAATCTTTTAATTTCTGTTCTATTTTTTTCCTTTCATTGCTTTTCTTTTGGATTGGCGACAAGTGGAGATTGCAGTCTTTCTCTTCTGAGTACAACTTACGTACACCGGTCCTTACAGGTTTTATAGCTGTGCTTGGTGGATTTTCAAGTCCAGATGCACAGCGATAATTACTAGTAATAATTACCATATGTTCTATTCCGGGAAAGACGACCGCAGTATCTAGTTCTCCATACCCGAGTTCCCCCCGTCGCTCTCATGAACAAGAGTCTTGTGGCAACTTAATTACTCAGGCACCACTTGTGCTATGGTTTTGGTTTTTTTTTTTTGTTTTTTTTTTTTTTTTAACCAACCCGAGTTAATGCTAGGGGTGCTCATATGAGCAGACACCACTAGCACTCCCGGGGAGGCTCCATCTGTTGGTGGGGACCAGCACCTGCCGGAGAACGGGTCCAGCATCCCTGATCGTTGGAAATTGTTTGGCAAGGACTTTACATTTGACTGTGCAGACTAGAGGCTGCTTTTTCTAGCGTTTGTGGTTGATTGCCTGACAGTGTATGACAGCCGAAAGAAGGTGCCTGCTACCTGTGATTAGTTCCCAATTCATGTACTAGGCAATCAGCGCCCCCCCCCCCCCCGGTCCCCCAATCCTTCTGCCCATAAGATCGAATCTCTATACTACCCTTGTGCCCATTCCCTTATTTGTTTCTGTGTCAGGTCTGCCTCTTCAGGCCGCATCGTAGCCTCCAGATAGAAATGATGTACTTAGCAGACTCCCTTTTGAGAACATTCCCCTAATCAATTTGAAAGACAGGACTCAGCAGGCTGGGCCTTCCTTAAACCCTAAGCCCTTGAACCCTCTCTTACTTTATCCCATGCCTGTTTTCTGTTCAATTCCAACTCTTTCTTCTTCTTCCTGCTCCCCCCCCTTATTTTCTTATTTAATTGATTTTAATTTTATAAATAATTGAATAAAGATAGAAAGCAATACAGGAATGAAAAACAAAATTCTATATCCATAAAGATAAAAGAAATATATAAGATAGAAATTCGTGTTACCACCCCAGTTCTTCCTTTATCAGCAGCCTGAGGTCCTGGAGCGATCTCTTTCTCTTACACGCTAATCTTCTCTGTATTGTTCGTTCCAATTTTACCGGGATGTGCCGAAGGACAACACGATGGAGCTCTTGAGGGTATTTGATCATGAGTCGGGTATGAACCATACAGCCAGTCATGGGCCAGGAGCGTCTAACCTTTGATATTGTTTTGGTATAAATGACATGATAACAGATTTGGGTTTACGATGCCAACGCCACTGCAGAAAACTGTGCTTATGCTCAGCAACATGTGTCTTGGCTTGTCCATGATTAGCCTCGGTGAGTTTTTCACAGCTGCACCCCTCAGACCAAATCCACTTCAGTGAAAAAGGAGGAAAATCAGATTGGACCAGCTGGCCTATCTCAGTTGGTACACCAGTGTACTGTTGAAATACAGACCAGGTCCCGAGTTCGAACTCCACTGGAAGCAGATTAGTAAAAATACTGCAATTCTTTTTTTTTTCTTTTTTTTTTTTTCGGGGAATACTGCAATTCCGAATTACCTAGGGCCGGCCAGTTCAAATGATGATACCTCAAGGCAGTAGCCTCTTCTTTCTTCTTCTTCTTCTTCTTCTTCTTCTTCTTCTTCTTCTTCTTCTTTGGCTTTTTTTGCTTTTTTTTTTTTCAATCAGATTAGGTTAGTTGCCATGCCCACCACAACCGGACAGATAACAAAGAACAGCAATGACCAAAGACTACCGTCTTCGCCTGAAAAGAACACCTGGTCGTTATTGCTGCATCTGGAATGAAAGCTGCCCAAGGTACGGCGATAATGACCGGGCATTCTATTCGGGTGAAGACGGCAAGGGAAATTGTGTCTTTTTTTTCTTTCACAAAAAAGGTCCACCTTTTTTTATTGAGAAAAAGAATGAGGTCGGGAATCCCTCAATGAAACAACCTGGAATTACTGGGACATTACCCAGCTCCGACAGAGCTACCTGAGAAAAATATATATATAGAGAGAGAGAGAGAGAGAGGAACAGAAAGGACCAAGTCCAGGCTGCTGCCCTGAAAAATCTCAGCTCTCTAAGAGAAGTTATCACCTAAGGCCAGAAAAAAGGAGAAAAAACAAAGGAAAATGTGTAAACCAAAAGAACGTCTAAGAACGAATGCTATGCAGCCCCTGAGAAAAAAATCTACAGTCTTCCCCCGAATACAATGTACGGTCATTATAGCTGAATTTGGTGTATCTTTCAGTCTAAATTCAGCTAAAATCACCGTACATTGTATTCCAAGGGGAAGACTGTAGGAAGAGAAAGGGCCAAATCCAGGCTGCTGCCCTGAAAAATCTCAGCTCTCTAGGAGAAATTCTCACCTAACGCCAGAGAAACAGGAGACAAAAACAAAGGAAAATGTGTAAACCAAATCATCCAAATGAAAATCTTAGAAAGAATCGTAGCCTGTTGAATTAACCATGTATCCTGCCACCTTCTGAGCGAAGATGCATTCAGTGTTTTTTTGTTTTTTTTTTTCCCCTTTGTGTGTGTGTGTGTGTGTGTGTGTGTGTGTGTGTGTGTGTGTGTGTGTGTGTTGTGTGGCGAGGTGCTATAATGCGGTGCATTAGACAGCTGGGCTGCGAAGAGGATTACTGCATTAGACAGCTGGGCGGCCAAGAGGCTTACTTCCCTGGGTCTAGGGCCCATTAGCAAGACCATTGGCCCGAATCTGGACGTGTTTGTGGAGAGGTGCAGAACATTGCGATTGAAACCGGGTTATGCATCCCTGCATAATTGCAGTCAGGTATATCCAAGTGAACTGGCTTTTGCATCCCTGCATATTTCCGGTCAGATACATCCGAGCACGGCAGTAATTAGGGTCAGGCACATACATTTAATTCAGACTAACAGCCATTTCAATGTAATTTTGCAATTTGGAGTTCTGTCATTTCGCTATAATTGCTCATTTTCCTTGCATTTTTGTTGTTTCTTAAATAACGCCTAATTCGTTTAAGCCCAACCAATTCAATTTTTTCAAATTAAAGTTAGTAAACGACTGTTTGCGCAAAAAATAAATAAACAAAAATTGTTGTTGTGATGTAAAAAACAAAGGGTAGCACCGTAGCTGTGATGTAGGTTGTTTATACCGAGAGAGTTATTGGACGTTTCTGGACTGGTGGTGGGTGGTGCTTTTTTTTTGCTCAGGAATTTTCATAGCGTGCCAGGCGAGCTTGGTCCCGATTGGGTGGTGGACCACCACGTGGACATTCTCACTGAGACTATTTTGGGCACCGCTGGTTCTGGGACTGTTTGCCTACCTCTTTGGCTGCAGAGGGTATGTCCTGAAAGTGGCATTCATGCAGGTACTATCTCAGTCTATCTGCTTTTCCCAAGTTTTTCCTAACGGTTACTTTCTTTCGTCCCTTGCATTCACGCGCCCCCCCCCGCCCCCCCGGAGTCCCTCAAGAGTCAAAACCCCTTTTTTTGGGTGGATATGTCGCACCTGGGACAGTTTAAATACCCACCCTCACACCCCATTTTAATCTGCTTT